TTCCCCTTTACCTTTAAAATTCTGGTGATATATTGGTAGATGGTGACAGCAATTATTAAATGGGAATCATCCTATTCCATTTTCATATTCCCTAATATTACAACACTTCTGTTATTTATTAGTTTCTTGCTGCTGAACAGGACACCTGAAACTTCTAACACTTAGCTGAACCTGAAATTTTTAGTTTGTTTAAATAAACGTAGGAAAAGCCTAGTTCATCAGTCAATTGAACAGCATTCTACTCTATTAAACTGTAATATATCAAGAGTTCTGCCATCAATGGGATTTGAGTGAAGTGACTTGAATTTGGCACTGAGGCAATACTTGTTCAATTCTGGAGGAGTTGTTCTGCTTATAATGTAATTTTCCAGGCCATTTCCTTTCACCTTTCCCATGTTTTTATTTATTTTTAATTTTGAAGTTGATTATTTTGTTAATACTATTACATGGAAGTATACTATTGTATGGAAGTGTACTAGTTTAACTTTTTCTTTAAAAATAAAATCAGGGAGACATTGTTGCATGATAATTATTAAGTAGAATGTACAGTACTTGTGTTTTTAAAGACCATGTTGTGAATATTTTCCTCCTGCCTTTATATATATATATATTTGGGAATAGTTTGGAAAGTAACCATAGCATATTCTTTCAAGGGTCATCCAGGTCAGCCACTGTGAATTCAAGATAAAACTTCATAACTTAAAAAAAAAGAAGTTGAGGCTTGGAGACTTGGGCTGAGATAAGCAGTCATCAGAGAGATAACAGATTTGTCTGACTTTGTGGTATTCAATAAATCATAACAAAACCTTAGAATACTGGAAACAGGCCAGAAGTTGATAACTTAGATTATAACTTCTACAATATTTTTGGAAAAGCAATGACATGTTTTCCTATCGCATTAATTCATTCTAAACTTTAGGTCGCCTCAAGCATGACCTATTTCTCTTTTTTCTATGCTGGGACTGCATGTGGTTTATTATTTCTGTTGAATAAGTTAACTAGCTTCCGCTTTATTCTGATAAAGGCTGTAATTCAGATTTTGCCTCACTGGCAATCTTGACAGCAAGAACTGTATCTTCCCACTGATTGATAAGCCACACTGGCAGGATTTACATACAGGTAATCCTCAATTTACAACCCACAACTGAGCCCAAAATCTCTGTGCTAAGTGAAACAATTGTTAAGTGAGTTTTGCCCCATTTTACAACCCTTCTTGCCACTGTTGTTAAATGAATCACTGCAGTTGCTAAGTTAGTAACATGGTTATAAAGTGAACCTGGCTTCCCCATTGACTTTGCTTGCCAAAAGGTCACAAAAGGTGATCACATGATCCCGGGACATTGCAGCCATTATAAATATGAGTCAGTTGCCAAGTGTCTGAATTTTGATAATTTGATCATGGGCATGCTGCTTTGGTCAAAAATGGGGAAATTGGCCACAAGTCACTTTTTTCACTGCCATTGTAACTTTGAATAGACATTAAACAAAAGGTTGTAAATTGAGGACTACCTGTATATAGATGATAGATAGATAGATAGATAGATAGATAGATAGATAGATAGATAGATAGATATGTGATTCTTGATGAGTATATCTTGTCTTTTTATGTACACTGAGAGCATATGCACCAAAGACAAATTCCTTGTGTGTCCAATCACACTTGGCCAATAAAGAATTCTATTCTATTCTATGATAGATTATAAATGATAGATAGATAGATAGATAGATAGATGATAGATGATAGATGATAGATGATAGATGATAGATGATAGATGATAGATAGATAGATAAACAGAAAGAAAGAAAGAAAGAAAGAAAGAAAGAAAGAAAGAAAGAAAGAAAAGAGCTATAGTGGCGCAGTGGTTAGAATGCAGTACTTGCAGGCTACTTCTGCTGATCGCAGTTGGCAGTTTGGGTCTCACCAGGCTCAAGGTTGACTCAGCTTTCCATCCTTCCAAGGTCAGTAAAATGAGGACCCAGACTGTTGGGGGCAACAGGCTGACTCTGTAAAACCTCTTAGAGAGGGCTGTAAAGCAGTGGGTTGCCCCCGGTTCGCACCGGTTCTATAGAACCAGTAGTAAAGCCGGCGGGAGGATCTGCCCACCGACCCCGACGTCATCAAAATGCTTCTGTGTATGTGCAGAAGCTTCTGCACATGCGCAGAAGAGCGCACGTACACGATCACTTCGCTCACACACACACGGCCCCGCTGCAAACCAGTAGTAAAGGTAAGTAGAACCCACCCCTGCTGTAAAGCACTGTGAAGTGGTATATAAGTGCTATTGCGATAGATAGATAGATAGATAGATAGATAGATAGATAGATAGATAGATATGAAACATAAGCAAAACAGATATTCATGGTTATTTCTAAATACAAATTAGGGATAGATAAAGGTGCCCCAAAATGACTAGGTTCAAATTATCATCCTTTAGACACATTAGGAGAAGAGCTGGGTCTCTGGAATAGGCTAGGAAAAGTGGAAGGAAAGACAGAGGGAAGATTAGCAGAGGCACCTGTCTAAAAATATAAAAATCCTGAACATACCGCCTAACATTTAGTACTGAAAACATTACCCTCATGAATAAAAAGTGTGTCAGCAAACTGAAGAAGAGAAGCTGTCTTCTTAAGGCTATCCAATTTCATGGATCAGAACTCCCAGTGTTAGGCTTTAACATTTAATAGGAATTGTAATAGCTCTGTTAAACATTTCCTTACATTATAATCAACCTGAATTGTAGTTACTGGACAAACATTCCACTTATCATGCAGTTATAAAATTCCAGGCACACTAGAATAAGCAGCCGGTGAATCAATACTTAAGTGGGTTATGTAAGTGTCAAATGTTTACTCTTCTTTGATGAAACCATGCTGTGCATCTTTAAAAAAAATTATCAAGGTTGTAAAAATAAAACGGAACCCATATGGCAATGGGGCTCCCGTTCTTAAGACCTAGCAGTTTAAAAATAAATGAATGAAATCAAGGGAGAAAATGGAAAAGCTAATGACAGACCCAGCTTTTGTCGTATCAGTTTGCCAGCATAATCAGAATGGCTAAATCCAATAGGGAATGATTTGCTTCACTTTTATATATTCATGAATATAGTTATATAGGTTTGTTTTATTTTGCTGCTTAAAATTAGAGTGGATATACAGAGCCATGGAAAGTTGTCAGTGTTGAATCATTAATGTAGAAAATGAGCTATATACTGAATTTCATTGTTGAATCATTGCAACAGGAACTGGGGCTTACTTTCTTCCTAAAGCCACATGTTGTTGTCATTATCATTACCATGTTGTTAGCCTTCAAGGACCACAGAGGGCATAGCCAACAATATCATTTGAGCGGATAAATAGTTTAGGAGAAAGTGAAAGGCTCTGTTTCCCACTAAATTATGTATATTAAGTTTTCAGAGGGTTAATGTTCTTATTTTATCATCGTCCCCCCAAAAAAGCCCTATAAATATCCTACCACCGAATTTTGGTGATAAATCCTTGGGGGGGGGGGGCTCTGGGCTCTGGACTGAACCCAAAGGGACTTGAAAACAGCAACTGACCTTGAGGTCTTAGATTGACTCACCCTGATATAAATCAACAACCCAAGATATGGGACCTGATCTAACTTGTTTGCCAGAGAAAATAAACAAGTCTAAGAGCTGAACATTCTTCTCAAACTTTGTATATAAATTGTAAAATATATTGTAATTATATATATATATATATATATATATTGTAGGAGGGATATTTTGTAGGAGAACATTAAAATACACAAATCTGTTCACACCACACCCACATCTACCCAAGATAACTTGGCGTGGAATTTGTAGTGTGATAGCATGGCCAAACTATTTCTTTGGAAATTCATTTCCAAATGTCAGAATTTTTTTTCACAATGTTCTTAGTGTGGAGAAGATGAGAAATGAACTTCAATATCATCTTGCTTTTTGCAGAAGCACTTTCACTTTTTGAAATCATGTCTCTAGCAGAAGTGTAGTAGTATTACTGTTTCAAGAAGATACATTTTCTCATTTCTTATAGCTCACTTCAACCATGGTGTTCTTCTTTTGGAAGGAGACCAAAACACTCTCTCTATGGACATCTATTTTATTCTTCCACATAGGGCTGTGTTTTGGGAATTCCATGCCAAATAGCAGTGATATTGGCCCATCTGCTGCTTAACCTCATTGATTCACAAAAATCTATGTATAAAATGTATCTCCTAATACATCTAATTCATCTTAGATAAACTTTCTGATTCTCAATTTTTGTACATACGGTGAAACCGATAAATGTTCTAACTCTTAGTAGCAGAGCATCCATAGGTTTAATAGGCCTTATTCCAAATATGTTGTACTCTTGTGGATATTCTATCTTGCAAGTATTAGGGCAGATTGGACAGTGGAGAATAGGAGATGGAATTTGTATTACTGCTGCTAATTTTTTACCATTTGTTTAATCTATTGACCTAAGGTCATTTGTCAAATGAGTGCTCTTGTTCCTGCCACAATGCATTCTGTTCCCCTTCGGAGGTGATAGGAGAATAGATTTACAAGGAATAATTAAAGAGGAAGTGTAATCTGTAATGGCTAAGTGAAAAGCAAAGGAAATGCCTCTGGATCAGTTCACAGGATGGTAAAATTTTACCAAGCCAAGGAAATTAGTCTAATGACCAGCAGAGAGTGAAAATCTGCCCCAAGAGTCAACTCTCATCATCTGATAGAAGTACACTCAGGAATGTGCTTTGTCCTTTCTTATGGGACAGATGGACTTTCTCCAAATGGTTTTACACTTATTTCCACTGATTATTTTCCCCATTTGGTTTTGAAAATATTTCTTCTTAGCATGTTGTATAATTATTATATTTTGGGCAAATAAATAATTTCAGTAAAGTAGGTAACTGGTAAAGATGGGTTAAAATCAAGTGCTGAAGTTCTTTGCAATTAGATAATTACTGTCTTTATTATCACCTTTGTAATAATGACAATTTCACTTTTCTCCAGAGATTTTCTTCTGCAAGACCTTAAAGACCTGGCTCTACCAGTGGCCTGGGTACCAAATGGGGGTGTACCACAATGGAGATGGCTGCTGGATTGATGGCAGACTCTATCTTCTCCCCCACTCTTTATTCGTCACCCATCCATCTTTTTGATCATCATATATAGGTATTGTCATCAGTAGTGGGTATCAATTTCAGCCGCTACCAGTTCACTTGTGCTTCTGTGTATGTGCTTCTACGCAAGCGCAGAGACGTCCAGGCGGGTGGGCAGAGCCTCCTGCTGCCACCGCTACTGGTTCGCCTGATCCGGGCCGAACCAGTAGCATCCCACTACTGATTCTTATTATGTTCTTTTTCATTGTTTATTTTATGGTTCCATTATTTTACTTCTGTTATGTTAACACTCTTTTCAGCTTCTTCCTTTTTATCATTGTAAACCATGGCAAGATAGGTGGCAAATAAATTTAACAAACAAAATAGACAATAAATTTAAAAGAAGTCCTAAAGGACTTACACCTCAAGCACTATATATACAGACAGAGCCAACTTCATAGCAATGACATGTTGCATTGAACATGAATAATGATATACTTGTATTGAATATTGTCTTATGTAGAAATGTGTTTCATACTTCCTGTTTGGTGAGCAGTTTGTATACAAGTATCTACCAGTAATGGTTTTTGTTCTCCAAACCATCCCTTGCTCCCTTGTGTTTGTGTGCCTGAGTTTTCCAATAGCTTTCTGTTGGTGCCATGAGGTTGAATTGAATGTTAATTATCTTGAAGAAGAGTTCCCCAAACCATTTTAATAAAGTGTATTCCACTACAAAATGGATGAATGGAGAATAGAATTATCCGTTTCCCTTAGATTGGCTATTTTTCATTGTTTTTCTTATTAAAGAAACACTCATATGATCAAGTAAATAGTTCCCAAGTTAATTGTAAAGTCATATCACAGTTGGCTTTTAAAAACACAGCGATGTAATTTTAGATATACACACATATATTTGTTTGTTTGTAAGTGTGTGTGCATTGTATAATATTCAGTTTTGAAATATATAATCATGAAAATAATTCATGATTATGAATGCTAGTGATTTAAAAAATTAAATATTAGAGAATACCATAAACAAAATATGATTGCAGAATGCCCGAATCAATATCAATATCAAGTCCGACCTCCGGACTTTTCGTCGGGCCCTAAAAACTTACTTTTTTCAGTTAGCCGGTCTGTCTTGATTTTAGGGTTGGTTTTAAAATTTTGATACTGATTTTAAATTGACAAGTTTTAAATTATGGGCCAAATTTATTAATTATTTTAAATCTATTTTTAATTGTAATGTTATGTATAAATGTTTTTATTTTGGCTGTTCACCGCCCTGAGTCCGAAAGGAGAAGGGCGGTATAGAAGTTTGAATAATAAATAAATAAATATATATATATATACATTTCAGTGTAGACTTTTTTTTAAAAAGCTGTAATTTGGTAAACGTAACAATTTGTAAAAAAAAAAAAATACAACTAAGGCAAGACATGATAGAATCTTAGAAATAAGAAATTGAGAGTGACAAAAATTGATAGGTTTGAATATTTCTTGTCCAGATCATTTTATAAACAGATTTAATATCTAAAACGTTTACCTATTCCAGTTTAGTTTGAGAAAATCTAGCATTTAAACCTCTGAGCAAAACATTTTGAGATCTTAAATATTTTTAAATGTATTGTTTATAAATATCAATTTTGGGGTAAGGTTATTTTTTAACATTCAACAGGAAAAGTCAAAATGCCAATTGTTCCTGTCAATTATATCTGATCAATGGCTATTCAGGACACTTTCTCCTTCCATACATTTTATTTATTTAATTAACAAATACCAAATCAATACATTTGGGCACACTTGAGATCTATAACCCCCACCAGCATGTATATTCACTAGTGCTCCAGGGTCAGAATCAATTACTGAAGCCCAATGGAGAATGTACACTATTTTGTGGAAAGTAGAGGGAAGGGAACAGAAAGGGAAGGGAGAAAATTTAGATGAATACAGGGGCTATGGGTCTGTCTTTCAGAAGTACTCCAAGGTTATGGGACAAAACTCCACCTGAAAACACATTAACTAATGCATAACACACATGCCTCTGGTCCTGCCACAGGCTGAGTTAAATAATACGTATCTAATGTGATGACAGCTTCATGGGGGGATGGACCATCATTGTCAACAGGGGAGGCCTCCAGCAGCATGTTAGTTGGGAGGAGACACTCTGATTTGATTTCAGACATTAGCAACACTTGGAGTGACTGACATGTGATGAAAGGGAAAACAACTCTACCTTCCATGGTGGATTACTCTAGCACCAATGGAGAAAACTGCTTTCACTTCCTGACTGGCTCCTAAACTACTTGAAATGAGTGAGTGTCTTTTTTTTTAATGATAGGAGTAGCAAGTAGTTGGATAAGTACAGAGGAACATGCATGAGATGTAGTCAGAAAAACAGATTATTGGTTGCACTGCCAAGGCAGTTTTCATTTTTTTCAAAAAGTGTGGAGTTTCTTCTTCCTATCTCCACTTAATGCACCGGTGAATTTAAGAGTAGGAATAATGCAGTTCTAGCTAGTTCTGGTGAAGTATTTAGACTCCACTGAAAGCCCATTTCAAATCCCATGTTATCCATTCCTAGCGAAATGGTCAAATGTCCTGTTTTATACAGAACAGCCTGTGTATAATTGTTTCCCCTCTTTTTAGGGCTGTCCATTCCAAGCCTACTTTAAAGACCAAGAACCATGAGAAAAAAATAATCATGAAGGTGGACTTCAAAATGAGCAGATACATCCATTTCCCTATCAAAGTCTTGTATATTTTGGTGAGAAGTATTGTTTTCTAAATGTGTAGAGTAATTTTTTTTAAAAAGTCAAGGTAGTGGCCACAAGGGTGTGGTCAAAGCTTCATCACATAAAAACAAGCAGGTCTTTAATTACACTATTGTGTGATAATATTTTGATTTTTTTTTTACCATGCCATTTGGACATTCCTGTATATACTTGTAGCACCTTAAGGATCAATATATTTGTTGTGGCAGCTTTTTCAACATGGATGCTATTCACCAAAGCTCTTGCCATGACTAATTTGGGATTCTTTAAGAAAAGATTTCTTGTTGAATATGTTTACTTTTTTTGCAGCAGTTTATAAACCATGCTATCCCAAGATAGCATTTTGCATCATATAAAACATACACTAAAAAGGGCTTAATCTCAAAATATTCAAACTATACTTGTTAAAAACAATCATATTAAAATATAAAAACTAATAATCCAAATTATTATAAGGCCGTCCAAACATCGCAATTTCCCAAATGTCTGTGGAACAGAACCATTTTATTTATTTATTTTATTAAATTTTTATACCGCCCTTCTCCTGCTGGACTCAGGACGGTGAACAGCCAAGAATAAAAAACATCCAATACAAAATTTAAAATTATTAAAAGAATTAAACAAATTTTGGCCCAGATTTAAAACATCCCAACTAAAATCCATTACAATTAAAATATCTAAGGGTGAGGGGGTTACGCCAGCCCAGCTTGGTGAAATAGAAAAGTTTTGAGGGCATGGCGAAAAGCACGGAGATCTGGTATCCTACGTATCTCCGGGGGCAGGTCGTTCCAGAGGGCAGGTGCTGCCACAGAGTAGGCCCTCCCCCTGGGGGTCGCCAGCCGACATTGCCTGGCTGACGGCACCCTGAGGAGTCCCTCTCTGTGGGAGCGAACTGGCTGGTGGGAGGCTATCGGTGGCAGAAGGCGGTCCCGTAAGTAATTTTAAAGACCTTCCTAAAATTCAGCAAGGTAGAGACCAATCTGCCAATGGGGTGAGTGGTTACATAGCAAATGGGCAGCCACAGAGAAGCTTGACTCTCTATTGGAGCAAAGATAATAGATCTTTAACAGAGTTGGAAGGGACCTTATAGGTCATCTAGTCCAACCCCCACTCAAACAGGAGACCCTATACCATTTCTGACAAATGGCAGTCCAATCTTTTCTTGAAAGTCTCAAGTGATGAAGCTCCCACAACTTCCGAAGGCAAGCTGTTCCATTGGTTGATTGTTCTCGCTGTCAGAAAGTTCCTCCTCATTTCTAGGTTGAATCTCTCCTTGGTCAGTTTCCATCCATTATTCCTTGTCTGGCCTTCAGATGCTTTGGAAAACAGCTTGCCCCCCTCCTCTCTGTGGCAGCCCCTCAAATATTGGAACACTGCTATCATGTCTCCCCTGGTCCTTCTCTTCAGTAGACTAGCCATGCCCAGTTCCTGTAACTGGTTTTTTTTTTATTTATTTATATGCCACCCTTCTCTGGAGACTTCATTCTTTTGTATATTTATACAAAGTCAGCTTATTGCCCCCACAACTGGGTCCTCAATTTACCTACCTTAGAAAGGATGGAAGGCTGAGTCAACCTTGAGCCTTGGTGAGATTCGAACCTGCAGGCATCTGGTCTTAATAACCAGCTTAATAACAGGGTGCCTTAGACCACTGTACTACCAAGGCTCTTGGTAGTACTGTTCTTCATATGTTTCATATGTCTTCATATGTTTTAGTCTCCAGTCCTCTAATCATCCTGGTTGCTCTCCTCTGCACTTTTTCTAGAGTCTCAACATCTTTTTTATAGTGTGGTGACCAAAACTGGATGCAGTACTCTAGGTGTGGTCTTACTAGGGCTTTTTAGAGTGGTTTTAGTACCTCACTTGATCTTGATTGTATCCGTCTGTTAATACAAGTTAGGATTGCATTGGCTTTTTTAGCTGCCGCTGCACACTGCTGGCTCATATTTAGCTGATTGTCCACTAAGACTCCTAGTATCTTAGTATTATCTTAGTAGAAATGTGGGAGAGGAAGAGAGGGAAATAGATGAGAAATCTGATTTATGAGGTTGAAATGTTTTGTCCACATAAGGAGAAGCCCAAAAGCTGGTTTTGTGCAATTGTTATTGAACATAACCCTAACCCTAACACCCATGTTTCTTCTACAGTGATTTAATTTTTTGAAAAGCAATGTCAGGGGAAATGAAAAGGGAAGCCTCAAGGAAGCGCAGAAAATTGAGGATTTAATGACTTATTGATGTTCAGTCAACCCCCTGTTCACAGCCAAGATTAAAGACTAGGAATAACTTCCTGTACAAATTCTGGCCTGAGTCCACCCACCCATCACCCATCACACAAGAATGTAAGATTTACATAGTTTATGCCTTTCATAGATAGCATTGAAAAAAGAATAGCTACCAGATCTCTGCACAGACCAAAGCTCTTCAGGAAAAAGAAGGAAAAATGTTGAAACAGTTGTGGATTGAGAGCCAGTGTGACAGTAGTTCGATCAGTGTCTTGTCTACATTTAGTCATGGAAGCTTATTAGGGTACTTTGAACCAGATGCTATTTTTCAGCCCAGCCAATAAAGTAATCCAGTACTACAGATCTCCCATAGGTGATTACCCAGCCTTTACTGAAACACCTCCAGGGAAGGGTGATTCTATTTCGTTTCTAAGGCAGATCTTATTATTGTGTGTGTGCCAGAGGTGGGTTTCACTTACCTTTGCTACCAGTTTGCTTGTGCGCGCATGCGCAGACCATATTTGATGATGTCCGGGTGGGTGGGCAGAGCCTCCCGCAGCTGCCGCTACTGGTTCTCCCGAACCGGGGTGAACCGGTAGCAATCCACCACTGGTGTGTACATATGTATGCAATAATTTGCCTCTAAGAAATTGAATTCTGTTAGTTCTTTCTGTTATGGCCAGCTTCTTTTCATATACTGTTCTTATATAGACAATGTTTTCAGTTGATGAAAACAGGTCTAGGTTTACTTCCTTTATTTTATTTTATTTTTATTATTTTTATTTTTTATTTTATTTTATTTTTTATTTTATTTTTTATTTATTATTATTTATATTTTATTTTATGTTATTATTTTTATTATTTTCTTTACTATATTTTAATGTTCTCAAATTTATTTATTTGAAATAAAATAAACGTATTTTAACGTTTTCAAAAACATTCTAAAGATCATATCCTTGGCCAAATTTTCTACACTTTGGACAGGGAATAGCAGTTGGCGTGGGCTATCATCCTGCCTACTTTGGTACTCCTGGAGTGAAAATAAGGTAGTAGCAACTTGTGACAAGTTGCATTCAGCTATGGCTTCCCACTGACTGTTCATGTATCTACATAGAAACCCAAACAAATATTGGTGTTAGCTGGATACCTGCTAAGGAAAGCTGGGAGTAGAAGCATTGGAAAAGTTCCCATAAGAGGAACTTCTGATTCACAGAGAAAAATACCCATCACTGTCCGCCACTTCTTCCTTAACTTTCAATTAGCAAGTAGGTAAGGCCTAAAAATAAAGAATTGTACCTAGTGGATTAAGTAAACATTATAGAATGCATACAAATCCAGATAGAATTGCACTATATAACATTAGTCCCTTATGTTGTATAAAATTAACTAGAGCAGGGCTCTTCTGGCCCACGAACCGGATGCATCACACGCTGGCCATGCCCATGCCCAGTTTAGCAAAGGGGAAAAAGTGTCCATATGTCATGTGACGCCGCCATGACAACGTGAGTTTGACACCCCTGAAATAGAGAGGGGGGGGGAGTTCAGTCACTTTGCAGTTTAGCATCCCAAGTAGCTATACCTTATCTTGAAATGGGAATAAGGAAGTGGGATACTTTGGTAGTTGCAGCTGTAAGTAACTTCCTTGTTCTGCTAAGAAATGTAGCTTGGAGATCAAAAGTAGATGCTGAGGAATTTTTTACTGAGTTTCTATCAGTTCCTCAGAACTGATAAAAGCTGGTCCCATTCCTTCCTGAAATTTTGATTTGTTCTGCTGAAGCTAGTTCATATTTCATTGCAGCAGAACATAGCTAACCCAACATTTTGATGGAAAGTGTCAGGCTGGGTTGCTTTATAAGGAAGAGGAGGAAGACCAGCGTTTAGTAACTTATACTAATATTGATATAGCCAAGTATCTGTTATGGTTACCTTTGCAAAATCATCCCAAAAGTTGACTTACAAATGCATGTGATAAATATATATTTGCTATAAATATATATTTATAGCAAGAAATTCAGATATGAGATCTCTCCGCCTTGCTATCTAATAGTGAAAAGATAAATGTAAATCTGCTACTTTTGCCCTTTAGACCAACACTGAGGCAGAATAAAAAGGAATGGATTTCTACCGAATATTGAAGTTTGTGTCCATATGTTTTTTTTACTGAGTTTTTATTCCAATTTGAACCTTCCAACATATTTATTTATTTGATCTGCCCACCTCACCTCAAGGTAACTCTCCTTGACATTTGACGTCTCCTAATTATACGGATACCTCTTTCTTGTTTCTTTGTGACCATATTTTGGTAACAGTCCTATTGGCACATATTAGCTATATTTGTTACCAGAAGGATTATCTGAAATAATATCTTTTTAAAAACTTTTTTCCACGTGTTCCTATATGGGATACATTGGGCTCAAAACTGCCCAGAAGCTTTGTAGGTTGAGTTTTGTACTGACAAGTTTCCCTAAAGGGAAAGGGAAAGGTTTCCCTCGCACATATGTGCTAGTCGTTCCCAACTCTAGGGCAGTGCTCATCTCCATTTCAAAGCCGAAGAGCCAGCGCTGTCCGAAGACATCTCCGTGGTCATGTGGCCGGCATGACTAAACGCCAAAGGCGCACGGAACACTGTTACCTTCCCACCAAAGGTGGTCCCTATTTTTCTACTTGCACTTTTTACATGCTTTCAAACTGCTAGTCCATCATTAATTATAATACCACTCCAACTGTCATACAGATCCTCTGGCAGATTCTGAAATGTGCACACATTTCCAATAAATCTGCTATTGTCATCTTCTTTAGTTTGTTTGTTTGCTCTTTGCTTGGATTGACTTAGAGACATTTTCGAGAGAACCAGCTAACACAACTTCCACATAAGCAGA